TCCCCAACATTCTGTGATTCTGTGAAAATTAATTTTCATTTTGGTGCTTTAACTAGATATAATAGATATTTCCTAAAATAATAAGTGGTGCATATCTAAATTATTTTTTAAGTGATGTGTGAAACTCCTGACCTGAAGTTCTGTTTCCGTTATTACTGTGGCTGCTGCTGTGGCTGCTGTTGTTCCTGCTACGATTATAATTCACAGAAGAAAATAAAATTTATGTAAATAAGTATGATGACTGCAATATGCCACAGATGATATGACTTCTACCACACAATTGTGCAGCAGTCATTCCTTTTATCTACTCCAGAATGAACCCTCCCTAAAATTCATACATTATAAAATAGTTGTGGCTAATTCTTCAATGCTGAAGTTATGAAGATGATCATAAGTAAGTCTTGCAGGCAATTTTAACAATTCATTAAGCTTTATTTCACTTTAATATGTCCAGACTTGCATTTCAGGGTTTAAAAAACCTCTCTCAGCTTTAATTTAACAAAGGATAAGATGAATGAATCTGTATATGCAGTCCCTATAAGAAAAGTAAAAGCACTTCATATCTGTCTTCAACAGCCCTTTCAGCCAGAGGAAAACCACAGGCTTCTTGGAAGGAAGGTCTTTCTAATATGAGGCTCTAAGGGAAATAAAACTTTGAAGTTCCTTGCTTGTGGTATCATTTCTGGATTCCAGATGTCTTTTGCAAGTCTGAAGGCTTTATTTTTGCTTTTAAACATGGAAAATATATGAAGAACTTAAGAAAAATACTAGTGTTTTCAGTGTAGTAATTTTAAAGGCAAAGGATCAACATCCTTGGAAAATCCTTTTTCTTTTATCTGGAACATGCTTTTGGATCTTGGGTGAAAGGAAATAAGCATTCTCTGGATATTATTATTGCAAGAATCTGATTATTGTTGCTACTTCTGTTATTTGTGCATTGTATTTCCAAGTTCTTATCTGTAGCATGTTGTCAGTATATTTCTAGGGAGTTCTGATTTTTTGGGGAGTTCAGATTTTCTGATGCCAAATATAACATGCTGAGGGTGGTCAGACACTGGAACAGGTTGCCCAGAGAAGCTGTGGCTGCCCCCTCCCTGGAAGTGTTCAGGGCCAGGCTGGATGAGGCTTTGAGCAACCTGGTCTAGTGGAAGGTGTCCCTGCTCATGGCAGGGGGGTTGGAACTGGATGATCTTTAAGGTCCCTTCCAACCCAAACCATTCTATGATTCTGTGATTCTATGTATGTTCAAGTTGTCTGTCACATTAACAATCATAAAGTAAAGGTAAAATAGAGACAAGATTTGTGGAGGCCCTAACAAAAATCTTTTTGTGATTGTTTAAAATTTTTTTATGTTCATTTAAATAAGTAATTAGCTCCATGCAGATAGAAGTAGTTTTGGAGATGATTTAGCATACACTTTATCTAAGTACTTAAGTCTAGATATATACAACTGCTCCAAGCTTCCAGGCAATGTTTAATGAAGACATGAACCTAATCCTGCCTTTCCATAGCCTTGTACTTTTCAAGCTTATAAATTTGAAAATTCTGTTAGGAAAATAGAATACGCAAGTTACTTACGGCACTAATTCCTGCATGTGAGGCATGTTTTAAGGTGCAGAACAAGCAGACTGTGTATTTGAGATACATTTAGTACAAAAAAGAATTCTGAATGATGTTTCCTATGATAGTTTCAGAGAGAAATGCATTGGAACATTGCAAGAACTAAAGAATACTCAGCATCTGATTTTTTAGATGACATTTCTGGAGAAAGGAAGTGACATGAAAGCAATGGGTTTTTCAGAAATAAAACTCAAAATAAAAGCATGTCCTTTCATACAAATTATACAAGTATTGAAAATTGTATGTTAAAATACAGCATTTTGAGCTAGTACTGTCTCATTTTATTTAACTATTTATGTATTTGCTTGTTTCTTTAGAACATGGAGGCAGACTTTTCAGAGATAAGAAGTGAGCTGCAGTCACAGGATGCTCTCTGGAGAAGGATACGTCTGAAATGCCAACAGTTGCATACAGAATTATTGAAAATCAGAGAGTATAAAGATATGCAGGAAATTCAAATAAAGTATGTACGTGGAAGACTACTTATATTAGCAAGTACTTCAGTGCTAATAACTTTTCTTACATTTTGATTTAAATTAAGTCTGTTTAAAAAGATACTCTGGATTCAAATGTCAGATTCTAAACAATAAATATTTTCATTATCAATTATATATGACAAAATTGCAGGTAAAAGGCTTCAAAGCTGCCTAGATCTTTACAAATCGATGCATTTAATTTATTTCTATTTAAATGTTTACAGTGCCTCTCATTTTCTCAGCATTAAACCACTTTGGAAGCAGTGCGATTAAGATTCTCCCTACCTTCCTTCAAGTAAAATGTTCATTTTGTAGTTTATCTAATCTACCCTAGCTATTTGAGATTATATAAATACTAATCTACAAGACATTTCAAGATTCTTTCTACACACACTTGCACTGTCCTTTATCTCTACATATCTTCCAAGACTGAACCTGGGTTAAGGCAAACCATGGGTTGTTTGGTTTTTTCCATCAGTGAGCAGGTCTTCCAGAGTTTTGCACTGCGGAGAGGATACTGTAAGGTAAAGGTTATTGAATGTTCTACTTGTTTCATGTTTTGTTTCTTTCTTATTTAAAGGCATCAGTCATCTTGTGTACAACCTACTGAGCAACTGGAGTATAAAAACACTGAGTTATTACTGTTGGCACAAAGTCAAGAACACCAACAAGAAGAGCTAAACAAGGTATTTCATATTGTTGAGTAATTCCAGATCTTAGTTGCAATATAGGATTTTAAAAAGAGAGCAGAGGACTGACCTTGGTAATGTGCATATGCAGAAGAGAGCAGGAGGATAAATTGTGGCTTTGAAAGAGTATGAAGTTTTCACGTAAGAAGAAGTTTTCATATATGCTTGCATTTCTGGGGTTAGCTGTATAGCTGTACAACTGACATTCTGATTCTGTGCACTCACAACAGAGCTAGCTACTTCATTGAAATAATGGAAGAGTACATGCCTAAAAATCACTGTGATTCAGATAATACCTTCCAAGTAATAAACCCTCCAAGGCTATGAGTAACTCAGGCTATAGGAGGTAAGTAGCAGTTTGTAGGTGGTCTCAGATGTAAGATATGGCAACAGATCAACTGATACAAGTTACTATGGCAGGAACCCACGCAAGACTAAGCTTAATCAGTCACCTGCTGCACCGTCTAGGGCAGCGCCTTTGGTTTGAACTATGTTATCACATTGCATTGCACATTTCATGAGTGCTATGTGCAAGCAGTAGTGGCATGGCACTGTGGAATGGCATATGGCTTGCCAGGCCAAAACACTTCGGGAGTAGAGGATGCTCAGAACTCCTCTTACAGGCACGTTGTGGTTTTGCTGAGTAGCAATGTGAGCAGGAATGTCTCTAATTGGATGCAGCTGACTTGGATGCAGCAATTTTGGCATGATAGTCATGATCTAGCTCTTAGATTTTTCACATCTACTTCTATTTGTTTACAATTCTAGTATTTCTGTGTAGTTTGCATAAATAAAAATGAAATGCCATCTGCTACTGATTGTGTACAGTACTGTGAGGAATTATTAAAATGGATTCAAAGGTTGTTGTGCTGGCTTTTGTAGTTTTGCTTCTTACATAATAAAAAAATCTATCAGTACTAAGTTGTTGGCTACAGTAGAGAGATTATGAAAACAATCTTTCTGTTGATTCTTTGGAGAACTCTGCACAGAAGATAGTGCAGAAAGTTTGACCTTAGATTTTATATATAATGGCAGGAAAGATTTTCTAACATAGTTTCTCATTAAAGAGTCTCTAGATTGATTTATTTCTATTGCTTCCAAGTTAATTTAAGCTGCATTAAACTTATTTTAAACCTAAATTAACTTAGGAGCAATATAAATAAATCATACTTAGGTTTATTGAATGGATATTTCCTTGCATATTCTTTGCCATAAATTCCAATTCTTAGAAATAACCTCATTTTTATTACTTTCTTTTTAAATGTTAATTTAAATGCCTTGTATTTTGTTCATTTCTAATACTAAATAGGCAAATGAAAACACAAGAAAAGGGTTGAAAAAAGATGTAAAAATAAAGCTCTGTGCACTGACTCCTGAAGACGTTTTACTATAAAATCTCAAAAATCTCTGATTTGGTTAGAAGAGTTGCTGTCTTGGAAGCAACATCAAAAAAAGTCACTAGTAGGTAGTAATGTGATGCAATCATATTTACTGCACAACATTTTTTATTTTTGAAATATATTTGCTACAGATAAGAAACCATTTTTATCGAGAGAAGCAGTCCCATCGCTCTGAGCAGGAAAGAATGAAGACAGAAATCTCTGACCTAACAGAAGAGCTTCATCAGAAGGAGATCACTATAGCAACTATCATGGAGAAAGCTAGTCTTCTGGAAAGACAGTTAAAAATGGAGTTAGAGATAAAAGACAAATTGTTAGCAAAACAACAGGTATGCAAGCAGGCAAAACCAGCCTAGATCATTTTACTCCACACTATTGATAATGACATACATTATCTGTGAAAAAAGACATTACGTTTCTTGCTGTAGCTTTCATCAGCAGTGCTGTAATATCTGTGAAGTATTAATAAAGCAGCCAAACTGATACTGGAACAAGAAAGCACCAGTAAATGTCAACCGTACACCTAAACTGCAATTCATTCTGACCACCAAATGTAGTTACCATTTTAACATGTGAAAGATCTTGAAAACTTCTAGTTTGTTGTTATTATATGTGCTTTATTGTTAGGATCATTTATTAGATTATTTGGAACGTTTCCTAATTTTTCAAGTTTTTTTAAAGCTTTTTGAAGAATGTCTCAAATCTGATCTACTTAGAAAATTCCAGTAATTTTAAAGCTGAAAACAGTAAGATGCCAGTGTTCTAGTGGCAAATTTCAGTTTTAAAAACAAATATGTTATCTTCATTACCTAGTTTTGTAAACCAAAATAACCTTCATATTTAGAGGTTTCTGGGTATCTCTCAGTTTTCTGAGAGGGTCACTGCATATTGAAAATCATGATTAATGTAATACTTTACTTCTGACAATAAGAAAGTTAGAGTTTGGGAAAATGAGAGGTGTTTGCTCCTGTATGGCACTCTTTACCAGGCCATATTCCTTATTGTGTCACTAAAAGAGTAGATGTTTTCCCTAGGCTTCATGACTAGGATTTAATCCAGTTTCAGTGGCCTGCAAAATCTGTCCCTCTTTGTATCTTGTAAATCTATGTGAACTCCCTTATTTTCCTAAGTGATTGCTTCTTTCAAAAAGGTAAATAAAATCAGAGGCATTGGATTTGTATATCTTTTATAGATGGTTTAAGACTTCTTTCTGCTTTAGTATTGGTGTATTTTAAAACTCATTATTATAGTTAGTTTCATAATTCTGCATGTACATTTTGTAAAATTAAACTTACACATATCTATACTCAGTATCATTTCAAGTTAACAGTAATAACTTTGCATTTAACTAAGAATTGAATCTTTTCCTAGTTGCTGGATTTCCAATACAAAGTTATCAAATCTGAAAACACACATCTAAAAGAGATGGTGGAAAACCAGGAGAGTAAAAGTTGCACGGTAATTTTTTTAATCTATGCAATATGCAGAACAGTTACTTACATCTAGTGTAAATGTAGATTGAGATCATGGCAGATTTAGAGATTGCTGGCTTGCATAAAATAAAGAAATAAATATAGGGTGTGTGACATGATCAAAACCAAGTGATATTCACACACAGCCTGAAGATGGATACAGCTAGGGATAATTTTGACCTTAATTGTAGTAAACTAGAAGTAAGCTAAATTTTTCAGTAACTGTCTAGACACTAAACATTTCCTGGTAGCCTATTTTTTGTAAGTGCTATCACTTATTTAAAAAAATATTTATTTTTAAACAGTCGTTATTCTCACAGATACAAAAATCTCTCATTTTTATGATTTTACCCCTTTGTTCATATGATATTTAAATAACAGTGTAAAAAACTGTCATATTTTGCCCCCACCCAGCTTATTTTCAGAGTTTAGTATTTATTTCTCTCCAAACAGGAGATATTTAAAGTTTAATTCGTAAAAAAAAAAGTGCCATAATATCATGTAAAACTGTAGTTTATATGGATATAATAAATATTATATACTCTGCCTTCCACAAAGAAGTTCAAGAACATCCCCTGCTTACAGAACATCTGCAGTTATTGTATCTATCACTAGAAGAAAACACTGGAATGTTGCTTAAAAATACTGCTGTAAATGCATCTTTGGGGGATTTGTAGCCTGTTAATTGTCTTACTGTAGACTGACAAATGCATGAAAGAACATGACATTTTTCCAGACATTTAAAATAGCATATATGTCTACCAGTGATGTATTATCTATACATAAATATACAATATTATGGATATATGTATGTGTATATATGATACATTATTGTGGAAACATAGATGGATGTGTGTATGCACGTCTAGCTCTTCTCTCCAGTGGTATTCTTCATGAAGATTGAGAAGAGTTGTCTGACAAGAATCCTTGTAGATATCATGTTTGTTAAATTTTAACAGTAAAATCCAGTGACTAGATACCCTAAACATTAAAGATTGTGAGGTATTTGGATATTAAGATTGCAGGGACTGGAGAGACTTTGACAGATGTGTTTGTACTGACAGAAGAGCACTACACAGACCCTTCAGACTAGTGCCAGCCTAAGTCAATATGGTGTAATGCATCAGGAAGGGTTACTTGTATAGATTTCTAAACCAACGTAGCTGTGCCAGCTCAGTTTTGGGGTTCATGCCATTATAACTACTGCTGATTCTAGAGCTACTAGTGGTAGGGTGACTTAGCACTCTCCTTCTTCCTCTGTTCTGCTGCTCCTCTCCACTTGGGAGACATAGCTGAGCTCCTGCCCCCCATCATTGCAAAAAAAAGTTAAATTTTCTTAGACTTCCGTGCTAGCTTGGCTCATAAATTTCCCCTAAAACTAGCTAAGCAAGGCCAGGTCCACAGGAAGAGGTGACATCAGACTAGTTAGTGCAAGGAACAGACAAACTTTCAGGTGCAGGAGCCCAGTTGTGCTAGCCATATACTAAGAACCAAATCCTTAATACTTGAGTTACTGAGTTCCAAAATAATAAGGTAAAACTAGAAATATATAAAAGCACAACTTAATAAAAAGCGTGGGGTTTAATCTTTTGTGTGTAATCTGATAAATCTTTTGAGAATTTTCTGTTGATTACAATATTTTTACACAATGCAATGCAGAGGTAGCTCCAAAGTAGGTAGCTTAAGTGTGCAGCATAAGCTTCATGGAGTAAGTGGTAGAACAAAAAAGGAATGGGGTATCCTGGGCTAGGTAACTTCCAGAGCTAATCTCCATCTTCCCCTCTTGATATCCTGGTGGATGGGTCTCTTTAGCCCCTGGTCACAGTGCACATGTTGCTTGCACTTTCAGTATTTTTACTTATATACCATGTGGGCTAACCCGACTGAGAAGCAGGGTTTAGTAACACAGATGGAGATCGCTGTGCTAACGTGGATTTACTTTACTGCTTCTGAAACTGAAGGTGACTGTTCCTCGACACAGATATTAAATTGTGCCTGTAGACATATCCTGTATCTAGTATAGTAATGAACTTCTATAATTTTTCTTGTTATTTTTGGTGGAATTGTTACTGGAGGGAGCAATACAGTCTGCAGCTATAGCTGTTACGGTTGTTTTCGTGTCATAAGTCTTACAAATCAAGCAATGAATTTACAACAATAATATTCTGAATGCATGTTTGTTGAGAAATTTTAATTTGTTTTATTGTGTTACAGAGACTGTTATCCTTTCTTTTCCATTTATCTACAGAGTTTTTTTTCTGGGGGCAATTCTCTTGGTTTGCTACAAGTGCTGCATGATTATATATGGTAGCTAGGTCTTTCTTTAGCATAGAACATTGTTTTGTGTTTGCTTGCTAAAAATACTAACATCCATTTCTTGTGGAAAAAATAACTGTTTAATGATGGTTTTATTTCCTTTCACAGAGTATAGATTTATCTAACAAAGAACATGGAAATTTCACAGCTTCCATTCACAAACTGGAACATGAGAATGTAAGAGTACAAAATAGTCTTCTTAAACTACAAAATTACACAGAAACATCAATACTGGGTTGCATGGATACATATGGAGAAACAGAGCACAGCTACCAAACCCATGTGAAGATGCAAGAAAAGGAAGAGAGGTAATATGTAGATTGTGCACATACATGAAACTTCCTGTGAGTTTTTTGGAAATATCTAACTAGGCCAAACTGTTAAGCTTTTTTTCTGTTTCTGTTCATTCAGAACTCCCATCAACATAAATATCAGACCTAGTTTGAATATTTGTAAGAATTTCTTACATTTTTCTGGGTGGCTGGCTGAATTTGTCACATAAAACAACTTTAAAAATTTTTTATGCGCTGTTAAAGTTGTTCTTAGTTCCAGGTTTTGCAAAACAGGACAGAACGTATTTTTACTGCCAAACAAAAACAAGACAAGGAAAGGATGTAAAAACCAACACAAGAGGTAAACTGCTCCACAGGAGGTTATCTTAATAAGCAGTTTAAACTACAGCTCCTACTGAAAAGCTTTGTGTCCTGCCAGTTTCATTTGTTGGAAGGGTCATTAAATGTATTTTAATGCCTTGTCTAGTTTTGGTGTTCTTGGGTGACCTGATTTTTAAAAGAAACATAATTTCAGATGCCCTGAATAAATCATTACTACAATAAACTGCTTGTTAGGGAAAAATAATGAGACTTAAGAATACTCAAACTCATAGAAAACATATTGTAGTGACGGTTTCCTTCTTAATTCGCTATATTCAATGAAGCACTGAATTACCTTCAAACATGTTATAATCATGGTGTTGCAGTAAGAAAAAGAAAATTAAACTCTCTGCTAAACAATATTTCACATCACAGGAGAGTAAAAATTAATAGGAAGCTAAATATTTTGATAATTTCTAATAAAGAACTCACACGATGGTGCTAATGTAAAACAGTTCTCTGAAGCAAAGTTTAAATAATTGGAGCCAAATTTGTACAGGTTAAGATTTTAAACTCATACATTCAGTCTTTAAATTGTTTTTCTTTCTGCAAAATAGCATTATATGTAGCTACATTCTTGCCTAAAATTTCCTTTTAAATATGATGTTTAGTGTTGGAGGTAGTATTCATGTGTATGTAAATAGATATATGATATATGCATATACATCATACACGCACACACATATATATATATGGAAGTGGCAGGTATGGCTGTTTTCCTACTAAGTTTCATATTATGTTAAAAGTTTTGCTCAAACAAATATTTACAAACCAAGATAGAGACTATTCTGCATCTGTAGGTCTGATAATTTCACCAAAAATTGGTCAGCGCAATATTTGCTCATGCTTCCACTCTGCTTAAGTGAGAAAAAGTATGATTTTTTCCCATTTTCTTGGGAATTACACTTGTTGTACATGAGGAACTGTGAAATTTCATTCATGATGATTTAAGTGTAAGAGACAATAGAATTATGGAGGTAATTTGCAGGATTTTGATTTCATAGCCATTGAAGACCAATGTTAAACCAAAACCGGGAGAGAGAAACCTGGGAGAGCTAACCTTCCTCACAACACAAATCTCAGCCACACTACTGAACACCATTTAAATTATAATTCTGATTGATCTGATGAAACAGATATATTGAACCTGGTTTTCAGGATCTAAAACATGCATTTGATTTCCTAAATGGAAAGCCATTTAGCTATATAAATACATACACAGACTGCAAAAAAAATGTGCAAATTCCACATGTACTGTACATACACATCAGCCAGCCAGTCTCTTTAAGATTGGGCCCTCTCTATACTGGCAGTTCTCTGTTCCCAAACAGGGAACTACCTCAAGATTTTCTCAAAAAACTAAAATTAAATTTTCAACCATCAAATATATGAGGATAAAACAGGCAATTGATGTTGGTTGAGCTAAACTCTGGGGTATATTTTATTTTATTGTGAGCATAAACCATCTTATTTCTGTTTTAATTTGCAGTTCTGTTTCCATGGTAATTATGGCACTGGAGAAAGGGCACAAAGATTTTTTTTTACGTAGTAAAAAAAAAATAGAAAACGTGGTGTTTGTGCAAAGAGGAAGTGTGTGTTTGTGTTTTAAATAGTAATTTTCAGCAGCTGTACTTTCTGTTTTTCCTGTTTGCATTCAGAATCCTAGAAAGGTTTGCACAATGAAAAAGAAAAAGTCTTCAACCAAGTATATAATATTTTTCAGTCATGTCTCGCAATCAGTATCAGACTCCTAGGCATGGGCACAGTCATTAGTTAGACAGGAGACCTCTAGAGAAAACACAGGAAATTGCAGTAAGTTATATTGGCAATTTAGAAAGAGGCACAATTTCTTCTTTCTTTCAGTATACAGTGAATTTCTAAATATTACAAAGTGAGATAAGCAGGAGTGGTATCTTTTTACTAAAAAAGACTGTGGCCCAATAACTGCTTTAATTAATTACTGTTCTCGTATGTGATAATTGACTTACTTTAAATTGCCATTTACATAAGCTTTTTCATAGAATCATAGAATCATAGAATGGTTTGGGTTGGAAGGGACCTTAAAGATCATCCAGTTCCAACCCCCCTGCCATCAGCAGGGACACCTTCCACTAGACCAGGTTGCTCAAAGCCTCATCCAACCTGGCCTTAAACACTTCCAGGGAGGGGGCATCCACAACTTCTCTGGGAAACCTGTTCCAGTGTCTGACCACCCTCACAGGAAAGAATTTCTTCCTAATATCTCATCTAAACCCACCCTCTTCCAGTTTAAAGCCATTTCCCCTTGTTCTATCACTACTTACATTTGTAAAAAGTCCCTCCCCCGCTTTTCTGTAGGCCCCAATCCTTTTTCAGTCCTTTATTTAGACCTTGGCCACATACAGTTGATTTAAATTTTGGCATGGTTGAAGAGGCTTTCTTTGATGAAGCTGATGTGTTTAGCCTGCTTTTTCCAAAATTATAACATGCATGTGAGTTCACAAATGAAAAGCTACTTATTTACCATAAAAATATACACAAAATAGGTAATTGGTCAAGCCAAAGTGCACTTCCATCATGTAGCAAAAGCGAGGAGGTAAAGGCTAGGACTGAATGCCTTCTAAGGTAGCTGGGGATCTCTTAAAGGATCTGTGTTGACAGTGCCATATCTGTCTTAAGGAGGTTTTCACTACCCTTTGGAGATCACACACTCTTAGTCATACCACTGTGTCAGTTATTGCAATAGATAAACTGGAAGCAGTGAAAACAATCTCTTCAGGAAAATACTTTTTAACCATGGTTAAAATCAAGCTAGCAGTTACACTTGCAAGGTAAAAGCAACAACATGAATTCTGAAGACATTCTGGTCATTAAAGACCTGTTGTTTTCTTTCTCAAGACTAGGTATGTCAACCAGCACAAGCTGTGTAAGCAATTTGTTTTGCACCACTGAAACCATCGATCACATAGGGACCAGGCTGATTTTATATATAAGTCTGGAAAAATCAATCCTGTCTATATAAATTCCCTTTGTGAGGACATTGTTCTTTCAATTCTTGTCCCATATGTCACCATGTCAACAGTGATAATTTGTGAAGTATGTGTATATATTAAATACTCTAATAAAGTAAACCCACTGAAAGCGTAAGTTATTCAGCTGCAGTTACTGTGTGTTTGCATTGCCAGCATCAACAAATGGCCATTTTTTAAACAAATTTGCAGATATTTGCCTACCTTTATATTTGTATTCAAACTAGAACTCTGTTCTTAGATATTATTTTGCACTGAAGTGGCAGAAATTTAAACCTCAACTGTGAAATCTGTTTGAAATGAAGACATAGTATCCATACCAAAGCACTTAAATGTAGGTGTCTTGTTTTTCCAAGATAGCAGTCCTATGGATTACAGTAGGAAGTGGAATTCCTTTAAAAAAATCAGTCCAGTTTTTTTTTGGAGGGGTGTCTGGTTTTACTATCTAAAAGCTACCAGAAATGTAGGCACCCAAGTCCGAAAATTCCGGTCTTACTGAAGTAAGCTATAACATAACAGTAATAACTGTTATTAAATACACAGAGATGCAGTTCTGGGGGAAAAAAGAACACTGATCACATAGACTTTACTGTGGGTTTACAGAGGAAATTACTTCCCAAAAGGTCAGAACATAGGATGAAAAAAAAATAAAATCTGTGATTTTATTATTCATGCCATCTGTCTTCAGCTCTGGCAGTTTTTTCACTGTGTCCTTCATCCAAACAATAGATGGAATGGACTTTAAAATGGAGGGGGCAGAAGGAAAAAAGTATTCTCCTGTGCTCAGAGAGCAGAGTGTATTTATTTAAAGAAAACCAAGGATAAAACTCTGCACCCAAAAAGATAAACATTTTAAGTGATTTAGAAAACTGGAAGGTTTGATAAATATTCTCATAGTTTTATGTTAGGATGTATTAAAAATAAATAAATAAATAAATAAATAAATAAATAAATAAAATAATGTATCATGCCTATACTTTCCTGTAGTGTTCTAAGTATCTTAATCACTACTTCTTTCATAATCAGAGATAAATATGTTCTTCCTTATTTCTCTGAGTTGTTCTGCACAGTCCATTTACGGAGTACTCAGTTTCATGTTTCGGGGCTTATGTACAAGCAGGGTCCATTAAGACTTCACAGCCACCCTCTCTCAACACCAAATATTTAAATTAAGATTAGAAAATGATGGTGTGATCTTTCTGCAGAAAACACTGTTTCTGCAGAAAACACTGTCCTTTCCCTGTGCTTGCTGAATTCTTTTTTATTTGAGGGAAAAAAAAAAAGCACTGCGGCACTGCATACTATTGAATATTGATAATAATTATATTTTAGTGGCAGAGAACTTGATCTTTAAAAGTTGTTATAGCTGCATTTCAAATTAGTAAAGTGTTTTAGGATATTTGCAGTGTTAGGATCTTTTCAAACAGCTATCATGTTTAAGTATAGTAGTTACCTCCCAAAATTAAAATTCCAATTTTATCATAAGCACAGACCTCAGTACAATGGAAATTTTTACCTCAGTCAGAAATATTGCAACAGAAATATAACAAAATTGGAAATATACATTTTTTTTTTCATGTTTTGGTAAGTCCAAATAAAGATGCAATTAAAAATTAGTCTAATTCAGCAGACATCTGGGCAAGTTAGTCTCAAAATTCTCTGCTCTTATCAATATGGTTTCAGAATTGTTCAGTTAACTGTCAGGAAAAGAAGAGATTTTGAATGGGAAGAAGATAGATATCTTTTTTTTTAAGCTGCTAGTAACCCTAAAAGTTTTTGCTTTATGGAACTACAAATAAATATAAATATGTGTTTTCACATTCTTTCTGATCACTGTAAGTGGGATACAAGAGTTATAGAACAGCATAATAAAATACTTTAAAATTCTTTTGTAAGCATGAAGATTTCACTTACTGTTACAAAAGCATGTTCTTGTACAATTTTTTTAAAAGTGTATTTTAAAACTGTATTTATTTCCCATCATAATCTTCAATATATTATCATTAAATCAGTGGCAAAGTTATTTTAGTATTAGTATATTAGTATTGCAGTAAAAATGAAGGATCACAGATTCCTGTACTATTTTTTTATTTAACCTATTTAAGCACTGATTCTAAATTTTAGCTACTTAAACATAGTTGTTTAAGGTGATATTAGATAAAAATTGACTAATTATCCAACCACAAATAACAGTTTTTATTTCCCATCTAACTTACACTTCCATATTTCATTCCCTCTAGTTCCCATCATACTGTAAGCTAAGTTATCAAGACATGGCTGAAGAGCGCTTACATCGCTTCTTCCACTGAAAATTCAGCTAAAGGAATTATAACCTTTGGCAAAGGCTGGGTAACAAACACTTAAGGAGTATTGATATCTTCAATACTCGAAGCGAGTTTGTGTTTTAGCTCTTGTCACAGTGATATGGCAAGGTTACTCAAGCTCCAGCAAAAGGGTTTAAATTGGTGTGATTGAAGTCACAGCTGAAGCAGACAGAGAATGCACTCAGGCATTTACAGTAACTTAGGTGGGAAGTTGATAAATTGCTGCAACTTGGTAATGCTTAATCTTATGCCCTTAATTTGTTGTACAAACAAATAAAATTTAAAAAAGCATTGGCTTTGCTGTAATAGCTTTGATTTTTTTTCTCTTTTAGAACTTTCCAAAAGAAAGATACACGGGAAATGGAACATCAACAGACTGCTATGTTCACAGCCAATGGATACCACAGAAACTGTGGTCCTGCTTTATATGGCCAAGGCAATATCACTGGTTCAAAAAGTGATAGCACTTTACCTTCTTATACACTTGACAGAGGTCATGAAAAGAAAATAGATGGCAGATCTCCATCACCACCAATGAGGTATCCTTTGGGCTTTGGTGTGCCGTCTCCTGAAGAGGGCAGAACAGACAGTTTACTGAGCCCTGCTTACAATGCAGAAGAAATCAAATTATCTGTAAGTAACTATCCTATAGTTATATATCCTATAATACATATATTCTCAAAGGTCCATCTGTGGACCAAGTGCAGCTTTGGAGGAGCCAAAAATCAGATCATCCCTGTTGTCATTATTATTTATACAGTGCCAGCCCAGCAAAAATTGAAATACCTTATCCTAACATAAATGCAGTTTTTCTGGAAATTAAACATCCCCTACTGGGCCATACCTCCGTACTAACAATTATGGTGATAATTACCTGCCATTATGTGACTGTGAGAGAGATTTCTACATTTTAGCTCATTGCCTTCTATATTGGGGCGCTCTGCTTCATCTTGCCTTCTGTCAGGGCACTCTGCTTTAAGTGTATTTCCATAATGCCTGCAAACTTACTGCCTTAAGTGCTGCTAGACAAATCATGTTTCTACAGCATTCGATTGATGGATGAAATTAGAGGAATTGCAGCAACTATTTTCGATGTGTTAGCTATTGTATTTGAAAAGGAACAGAAATTATAACTGCTCTAATCCTTATTTTTCTTGAAATGAAAGACTAATAGTGCAGCATTCTTTCTTTCAGTCTTCATAGGCTGAAGATTACCAACCTCTGTGACAAGTGGGATAAATGTCAGTTTGCCTAGGACAACTTCTTAGGAAAAACTTTCCAAATTCTTTGATTTTAGATCTCTCTTTAAATTTGAGCTTTCTCCTCTTCTTTAGCATCTTCTATTCTTCCTTAGGCCTCCACTACAGGCCACTATTTTTTTTCCACTTGAAAATTTAGCACTTATTTTCCAGACCTCAAATCATGCAACCATACCATCATTAAATAATGGAACAAAGAGATTAGTAAAGAGTGGAGATTAGCCATCTCTCTCCAGCTGTGATACATGCATTCTTGTACCCAGGAGATCCTGAACTGCAAGTGTGGAGAGAGAGAAGAGGGAAGACCTCAGCATTTACTGGAGCAAGCCAATAGGCAATTTTCTTGCCACTCATCACCTTAAGTAAGACAGAAGAGGCATCATGACATCAACAATCTTCTTCAAGCAGTTTGTGGTTGTCATACCCCCATTCTGCTGTCCGCTTCAGAAATGGACGTTCATCCTTTCCTACGGGAGACATGACTGCTGGAAGACTGTCTTCATAGTCCAGAACCTTACTGTAGACATTCAGCGCCATAGTGATGGCCTGGGTAGGAAGCAGGGATTGCAGTGCAGACCTTCACTGACCACAATCCTGGCAGCTGTGTCCCAGTAGTCAGAGACCAGGGAGAGAACCACCTCACTTCTATTTTTCTATTCTTGTTTGGACTTTTTCAGGAAAGTCTCATAAAAACCAGTTCTCTTCCTCTCTTGCCAGAAGTGTCAGACAGAGACACCAAACCACAAAGCTTCTGTTTCCAGCCAGCCCACAGAAAATGTCCATTCTGAGACACTTTTGCAAGCTTCAGGGAAACTGTTTCCCAGCTGGCACTCAGGACAGGGCTGATGCCAAAGCAGTTGATTATAAGGAAAACACTTTCCAGCGGGTGTGTGGGCAAAGTACACAATGAAACTATTAAGCAAGGGAGAATTCTTGTACAGAGTCTAAGTCCACCTCAGTGGCATTGAAGCAGGTACAAGTTCAGAAGATCACCAGAATTAAATCATCACTCAGACTGATATTGGATACCACAGCTTTAGTGCAGAGATGATTCAACAGTCTGTTACTCCAGAGCTCTGTGTTCGAATGGAAAGCCATTGCATCAAGGAGGAAAGAGAAAGAAAAACATACAATATGTTGTAAACCAGAGTTCTTTGACAGTTTTCAGGACTGATGTTTCACCTAAGTGAAACTGTTTGAAACTTTTGAAGATGTTATAATGGAACATTTTTCTGAAAAATATTTGTAGCACCAATTGAAAACATCAGAATTGCAGGTGTTGTCCTGATACCTACCAAAATTACTCTGTTGGTATTTAGGGAAGAGAGAAAATAGTTTCTAGGGCTTTAGACAAAGACTTGTATCTCTTCTCGCAGTACAGTCTTCAGGCAACCTTAGTAAATGTTCCACTGGAACCTCTGTCCTTTCATGTTCCTACTTAGAGTTTACACATGTAGAGAAAGCCACTCCTGCCTTAGAGTAAACTAGAAAGCTCAGCTGGGATTCAGTGGAAATTCCCATAACCCAAAAATTCTTGTTTTAAGACTTTCCAGGTCTAGAGAAATACTGTTTCTTTGAACAGTACTTTGGGGTGTGCCCTCTTTCTGAAATGAAAAACTGTGGAAAATAGTTGCCTGATCCATTCCCAGTCTCTGGGAAGATTATTCCATAGAACAATCCAATGTCCAGCTCAACTTTAATCTTTCCCACAGAAAATAAACACATAAATAAATAAATAAAATGGGCAAAAGATTATTTGCCACTTCAGAATATTCCATTTCTACACAATTTCTCCATTTTAGCTGGAGCAGGCAGTTATGTACATTGTGCTTCCTAGTCTAGATCATTAACTTGTAGTCACAAATAGCTTCTCATGTTTCTCTTCAGATGATGGACAGACATTGTCTGTTCTTGCTTTCAAAACTTGTAAAGACAAGAAAGACTTAAGCTGTAGGAAGGAAAACTCACATTAAGCTCAGGAAAATGTCTAAAGTTAAGGATGGGGAATTGCTTCATAGATTGCAGTGGCAAGTTGTGGAAATTCTGTCACTGGACATTGTTAGGAATTATTTTGACACTCTTGAGCCTACCCTGAGGCATGCTGTGGTCCCTATCTCTCACTCTTAGGTATTATTATCATTACCTAGCTAAAAACCTTCCTATATGGCTTTTCCTGTCATCTCAATTTTGGTTTTCATATATGAGCAGAAGTATGTTGAAGACAGGCATTTGTACCTGCTGCCTAAGATGTATTGCAGTGTAGGGTTAGAGGACACTACCCCCAAAAACCCCCAAATTTAGTCACAGTGAGACTGAAATTAGACAGACCAATTTGTAGTCTTGGTGTTACAAGAACTTTCCTGGAAAGTAGAATGGGGTAAACATGAGAGGATTTTAACACTCTGGAATTTGATCACTCATGATTTGACCACTGAATGTTAGAATATCACAAGTCTTAAAACTTTCTTGCTGCCCTGCAAGGTGCATCCAAGAATGCTGGGACAACTCATAGGGCAAGGAAGAAATTAAAAGGCAAAGTAATTAGGCAGCCTGTGAGAGAGAATAGACCTAGCTTCCTGAAGTGCTTCTCTCCAGCAATCCAGAGTTAATTCATAAGCACTTTGCATAGCTCTTCTCCTTAAGCAAGAGAAGGAGAAGGAGAAGACATATTTAGCACATACTTCATATGTGGAAAGATACATCTCTGTCAGGTGCTGTCCTTCATTTCCAGCAAATGATGAGACAAAAAGGTGATTCTCATTACTGGTCTACACCAAAGAAATATGGGATCAGCTGACACTGTAGAAATTAAAAGGTAGAGTTCTTGTTGCCTAACTACCCAAATAAGCTAGGTTGGAAGCTTACCAGTTAACCCATTTCTATCCAGCTCCAGTCAGAAAACCAAAAGACATTAATGAAGTGTTTTCTGAGGAAAAGAAATTCAAAACTAGGGACCATGAATCTCATCTGAGACATGGATTAAAGCAGTTTCTTTATGTTTTTTCTTCCTCAGGCACTGAAAGTAAAGACAATAAAGAACATAGTGAAAGAACAGATGAGAGGCTTGGCAAGCAAAGCTTAGCTGCTAACAAGAAATGTTGCCTTTTAGATCTGTATAGATACAACCTTCTCTCAAAGTGCATAAAAAACAGTGCATTAGGGACCTATCTAAAACGATAGTCAGTGATGTCTGACCCTCGGGTAAGGAGCTGCAGGGAACCATGATCTGCTTATTGTAAGTGATAAACATTCTTCTCTCAACTCTGAGGAAATTCAAGTATGTCTGCTTTGGAGTTTACAGTGTATTTCCAGAAAAAAACCACATCAGAGTAAGTACTAGTTGAAGCAAAGGACACCAGCATTTTAGGCAGATAGCTTGATCATGAGGCCAGTATGTTTCTAATGCCATCAGCAATTGTAAACCTTGTTATAATGAATCTCTGAGAATATCTCATAAATGATGTAACATTTCTGAAGACTAGTGCTCATGTAAATCGGCTGTCCATATGGAAAAGGCCAACATGGCTTTTTTTCTCTAGGTGATGACACCTATTAAATTCATATTCCAGATTCACATTTTCCTAGTTTCTTACACTTCTTGCGGCAAGTATTTTATTTGCTCAGTATTGAATCTGTGATTTCAGAGCTGGTATTCAGTAAGCAAAACACATGGTGATTCTTTAAGTAAATCATCCAAATCCAATGTCTTCTTCATAATGCGAAAGCCTTCTTCAAATGCTTCAAAATAGTACTGCCAACTCTATCACTGAATCCAAACATCACAAGGAAATAGATTTGTGACCTAGCCCCTGACGGAATAAATATGCCATGGCATTCAAAATCTCAGGAACAACTCTTCATATTAAAACAATGATGATTTATGGATGAGAAATCATGCATGTTTCTGAGGAAAAACAGAAGGCAGGTGATCTCCTTCCAGAGTTTCTCAGATATTGGAAGATTAACATTCTTTCTTATCCCTGCTAGTGCAAGGATTGATAGAAGAGTGTTGTGGCACAAAGTGATCCAATACCTTCGGGTTCCTTATTCCTACATGGCAAATTAAGTCACTTTTTCTTCCCCGCCCTAAAAAGGCAGGGAAGAAAACACTAGTTAAAAACTTAGTTAAAACACTAATTTGGAGGGACCGAGAAAAGGAAATTTCTGCTTTATCTGTGAATTTCATTTGAGGAGCCCTATACATCTGAAAGCCTGTCTTACTCTAGAAGGATGGTATTACATTCAGAATTTATTTCTGGCTATCAGTTACTTGCTGTACTTTGAAAAAAAAAAGGGGGGGTTTCCTATAGGAAATCTCTAAATTTCATCTCATAGTCTGCTGCAAAGAGTTTGACTAGAATAGTGCTTCTCTAGTTAGTATCTTTTGGCCTGAAAAGCTGATAAAGGGCAGTTTTAAACCAGGCTGAAAGCAAATACCAAACCTGCCTCGAGTTACCGTGGAAATGCAGAATACCCCATTCTGATACTATGGAGCTTAGAATAAAAATTTACAGGTGTGATGGAATTGGCCTTCCCCTTTGAATATTTAAATCATTTGAAGCCATTCCTATTTGATGTGCTGACAGATAAACTCTCCTTTTTACATTCTAGGAAAAACAAAACCAGAGATTCTAGACTAATAACTCAATCAGTTATTAAAACTAGTTAACATATGGTTTAATTAAGATAATAAATGTCAATCAACTTTCTTAATATATTATCATATAAAGATAGAAAATTATTTTCCTCTTATTCAGTATTACAACTACTATACTAAGCTTTTTCAGTCAACTGTTAAAAATTCATGTCATAAAATTGTAGTTATCTATACGAATAAATATTGAATTTGCTTAAACAAGCATATCCGTAGGCAAAGAAAAATTATTTCATATTTCTTTTGATAAAGACATTCAAATGAATGCATCTTAACTATTAGCAAAAAGAATTAACAAAAAATGCTGCTTAAAATGTTAGAACTTGTTCCAGCAAAGATTCACTCATGTCTTTTGCTTTGTACAACTCTGCAACCCATGACAACCATTTTAAGACAGATTTTGGTATGATTTATGTCTCAGTCTACTAAATGCTTATTAAATGGAAAGAATAATTCTCAGTGAACTACTTGCAGGGAATAAAATTTAGTACATTCTCCAGAATATCAGGGCTTGAAGTTGATGGTACAGAAATGAGCATAAGTTTTTTTCCTTTCTTCAGAAAGCATCACCTCACAGAAGCAAACAGCTAAAATTACAGGAGGCAACCAGCAGCACCCAGCCCTAGTTATATTCTGTAATTCCAAAAAACAGATTATTGTGCTCTGTCCTGGCCTAAATTATACAAGTGATGAACATAACCTTTAGCTGATCCAAAGATTTTGGAGGTTCTGAAGCAGCTGAATTCTCTCTAATGGAATATTTAAATTTTTAATGGCAAATCTACATCCTAATGCTGTGAAAATCACAGACATTCAAACATGTTCACATTATGTCATTTAGGCACCTGAATGCCTTTAGAAATGTATATCCAAATTCATGTTTTCTCAGAGAGATATAAAGTGTTATAGTGCTATTAGCACTATAGCTATAGTTAAGATGTTTTTCAAATCTAAAATTTGATAATGCAAACATGTTGTAGTACTTGCTGGTTTTTACTAACCATAATTTTCTATACATTGCTCAGTCTCCCCCTGAGATGTCCTTCCTTGCAACAACAGAAAAGTTCCTTCAAGAGGAAGAGAAACATACAAGAGAGCTTGAAGAACGTTTAAATTTGCACCTTGAAGAACTGCAAAGACTTTCTGAAAATACTCTAAAAAAATATGCCAGGATACAGCAAAGCAGGCATACTTAACCCAGTCACACAACTGAGAAAACAAATCCAAGTAATCACTCATGAGTTGCTTAGAACTAAAATCTGCAACTAGCTGCTTAAAGTATTTAGGCACATTTCAAACAGCATGTGCATTTTTAACACCAAGGTTTCAATAACATGATCATTATCCTCATGATTTAGGTACTTGACTATATTACAAAATATCATACTCTAAACATACTCTAAAATATACAGGTTGTTTTTGCATATTTAAATTGTGTGCAGCAGAGACCCTGTTGCAGCACTGTAAATTAAGAAAGATACTTCCAATTCAGTGATGTGCAGGGGGCTAATAAGTGGAATTATTCCCTTGAAAATACAATCAGCCAAGAGAAATTCTCTAGATTGCACAGCACAAGAATAATAGGAGCCTTTAGCCATGTCATAGCTCCAAGCATAAAGAGCTTATCTATGCTCTGGTTATTCTTGGCTATAGAAATAGCCCTTGGGACTCTTGAAATGAGAAGTTTGAGCTCTTTCTTTCTTTCTTACACTCTAAGCCATGCAGGCCCATGAGGGGAACATGAATAGACAAAGCACAGATTTTGAAGCCACCTGTATTGCCCCTTTTACCAGACCTATAGACTTTACCAGGGGCAGAGCCTGATCTCAGGTGCTTTATATGCTTTACATTAATACTTAAGGATTTTTAAATCCTGTATTCAAAAGCACCTGTTTTGGTGTTGATGTTTCGACACTATGTTGGCTTGTGGTTTAACTACGTTGGAATAGGGGAAAAAACCTTTAACTTCAGGCAACTTGATTCAGGTAAGAGCTTAAATTCTTTACATTTTTTCTACAACATAAGAAAACATTATAAAACTGAGCAGAGTTAATTCAGCTCCATGTGCCAAAAAACTGAATAATGTTGAGATTCCTTTTATTTGCAATTCATACTGAATTCTATTGCTGTGCAAGCAGAACAGAAATTACAGACAGTGTTGATGAAGCACCAATTTCAGTGAAAGAGAGACTGAAGAAGTGCTTTCCAGCATATAGCATTGCCAACTTCCTGGAAAAATCTGGATAAAAATAATACCAGACTGTCAAACAGCTCCAGTTTGTGAGTAAAAGAAGTCTCATTAATATTCAAGACAGCGGCAAAAATGTAAATTGTTTTTGGAAGCTATATTTCCACTAAGACAAAATACACTACATCACCCTTACACAAAATACGAAGATTTTAAATACCAGTTTGTCTTGGTTTGCAATAAAAAGAGTAATGAAAATGAGGACATCAAAGAACACTTTACAGGAAAATTCAGGAAAATTACTAGACTCAGCTGGCGGAATGAGGACTGAATAAAAAGATGATGGAAGGACATCTGAACAAACTATATGTATATATGTGTCCTCAACTTAAGGGAAGATGCATCTGGGAGTTTTAAAAGAATTAATGAAGAAACCTCTGGAAATGAAGCTGAATTTTAAGCTGGGAAAGTTCTGTAGAAGCAGAAAGACAGCAAAGTGTTGTCATTCAGAAGGGTAAGAGAACAAAAATATGGGATATTAGCCAATCTTTTGCCACTGCGAGATCTAAACATACAACAAGACAGTATGCTCCAGATCTTCAGAGAAACATGTGTCTGAGTCCAGTCCAGGCCTGAGGATCCCTCTCATCATACAGGTCTGTGTGATGATAGAGAATGAATGAATGAAATTATCAAAAAATGGGTAAGATTTTTTTTCTAAAGCTTTTTAACATCTGGCCAAGCTACTGACTTTGGCTAATGAAACAACAGAGTTAGTTTCAGCCTGGCTTTTGTGTAATGCCACAGAATAAGGCTTTGAGCAACCTGGTCTAGTGGAAGGTGTCCCTACTCATGGCAGGGAGGTTGGAACTAGATGATCTTTAAGGTCCCTTCCAACCCAAACCATTTTATGATTCTGTGATTCTATAATAAACTCCCTGTGAAAAGAATCAAAAACTGCTAAGTACCTGTATCTGAACAGCCTACTCGTTTACTGTTATATCCTGCTCAGAGCATATTATGCCACAAATGTCCTAAGACAGTATGGACCAAAGTGCCATTTTTTAACCCAGACTTACCTGAAAAGTCACCCTTCTATGCACGAGCCAAAATCAGCAAAAGTTCCTCATCTGACAGTCCCCGATTTAAACAAGAGCCCATTGCTGCCAGGTCCAGTCAGAGCCACACCGCTGGTTCTGAATACTCTAACTGTAGAAACTTGATTGAACTGATAAGAGGTTTCTGAAGGAAAATATATATTCCTGATGTTATCAGGCCAAAAATAGTGTCTACAACATGAACCACATTTCAAGTTATTTGGAAAACTTTTTAAAAATTGATGGACAGCAAAAAAAGATTGAGAAATTATATACCTTATGAACAGGGATTGCAGATGTATGTATATTGTCAAAAAAAGGAATAATAAGAAGAGTCCAAGGCTATAAATACCTGAAGACACCAAAAAAAAAAGAAAAAATTGATTATTAATCATAAGTTAATTTGGCAGGACAAGGTGCAATGTTCAGGAGCTACGGATTACCCAAAACATACAAAAAATGTCTATTCTACTTTGTGAATAGCCAGGCAATGGAAAATTCTTGTAAGCTGCTGGATTTCTTTTATGATTTTTCAAAGCTTTACCGAAAAGCATTTTTTTTTGGCTCCCAGTTGAAAGACTTGTTTTAAATAAAAAGAACAATGGTTCAGGCTCCCACCAGCTCTTTTTGCTGAAGGAAAAACAGAGGTCACATACACACAGTTGCCAACATGTTTCACTGAGATATAATTTTGAAATAGTTTGTGGCAAAAGAGCTGCCAGACCATTGCTGTCCAACTGATGTCCCAAAACTTACTCTGATGGGGCTGTCAGTGAAACAACAGTAACTGAACCAGGAACATTTAAAAGTGGCTCACATGAAAGTTGGGTATTTAGTGCATTTCCTTCCTACCATTTCTTACTCTCTTTTGTATGCAAAATTTAGGAGTATAAGAATGGCAGAGTGTCAGGCGATGGCTACTCTGAACCATGCAGAGAGGAATGCAAATCACAGCAGCAAAACACAAAAATGGACAAACATTATGAAAAATCACAGGCACAGCTTGCTTGCTTTTCCATAGGGTAGACTTAAACAATGGCTTTAGCTTACCCAGTCAAAGGCTCATAAAGCTCAGCTGTGATCAGGGATGCTACAGAAAGTGCCTGACCCCCCAGCCTCACTGTTCTGGCTTCAGCGTAGTGTAAGTGGTTACAATCCCTGATCTAACAGCGGTACCATAGTGCACAGAATCAAGCCCACCACCACTTAATAATTCAAAGCTAGACTAAATGCCACCGGTGGGGTTGAGAAAGAAGTCATCAACAGAGACTGTTTAATGAGATGAGCCCCAGGTGATTTCACATCTGTATGTCGTGCTGGTCATCAAAGTTTTATTTAAAAAGCCAGCTCAGGTATGTGGTGAGCTCTGTTCAGTCCTGCTGGTTTCTGCCAGTGCGTCTCCCAGGCACCAAACAGCTGGAAGGAGGCAGAGGGGGCACTGGGGGAAGGTCCTTACCCTGCATCAGATGGATGATGGTATTACATTCCCATCTCGCTTTACAACCTGGAACAGCCAATTATATCATTCACAATCACTTTTTTTTCCCATTTAATTCTATACAAAATAGCTATCCACTAGATTTTATACCGACTGACTTGTGCCAGGGAAGGTTTTTTTTTCTTGGACACAGCAGTCTGCTGAGAAAATGCCAGGTTGAAGATTGTTCATAGCAGAGCTTGTTTGAATTGGCCAAATCGATGTGGAAACTGTGTGTTGGTTTTTTCCTCGCTATAGAGTTCAGATCTCAAAGTTCACTGTGTCTGAGTTACTATTTAATCACATGGAAACCCTCAAATCCATAAATAGGCTGTAATTTAATGTACTGCATCTAAATTTCTGCTAGTGGATTGAGCAATGCCCCTAGACACTGATATGCTGCACTCCAGTCTCCCTTCCTAAACCAACAAACCAACTGGTTTGTTCCTCTAATCTGCTCTTAACCAAACTGCTGGGGCTTTGAAACAGATTTATCAAGAATGTGTTTGCCCAGTTACCTCACAAAAACACGTTTGCATGCAAAGAACAGTCCCAAACCATCCCATCCCTGAATTTCCTACAATGGACATGAGGATTTACTTTACTTGATTTGAACCATGGGGGAGTGGGCAATGGCTCAATGTCCAAATGGAGACCAGTGACAAGTGGTGTCCCTCAAGTGTCCATATTGGGACAGTATCTTCATCAATGACATAGACAGCAGAATCGAGTGCACCCTCAGCAAGTTTGCTGATGACACCAAGCTGAGTGATGCAGTTGACATACCTGAGGGAAGGGATGCCATCCAGAGAGACCTGGACAACCTCAGGAAGTGAGCCAGTGTGAACCTCATGAGATTCAACAAGGCCAAGTGCAAGGTCAGGGCAATCCCTGCTATCAATACAGGCTGTGGGATGAAGGGATGGAGAGCAGCCCTGTGAAGGATTTAGGGGTACTGTTGGATGAAAAGCTGGATGTGAGACAGCAATGTTCGCTTGTAGCCCAGAAGGCCAACCGTGTCCTGGGCTGCATCAAGATAAGTGTGGCCAGCAGGTCGAGGGAGGTGATTCTGCCCCCTACTCTGTTCTGGTGATACCCTACCTGGAGTACTGTGTCCAGCTCTTGTGTCCTCAGCACAGAAAACACATGGACCAGCTGAAGTGGGTCCAGAGGAAGCCACAAAAATTGTCAGAAGAATGGAACACCTCTCCTATGAAGAAGGCTGAGAGTTGAGGTTGTTCAGCCTGGAGAAGAGAAGGCTCTGGGGAGACCTTATTGCAGCCTTTCAGTGCTTACAAGAGGCTTCTAAGAGAGACAGAGACAGACTTTTTAGCAGGGCCTGTAGTGATAGGACAGGGAGTGATGGTTTTAAACTAAAAGAGGGGAGATTCAGACTAGATCTAAGGATGCATGGCATGTGAACTGAAACTACCC